TGATCTAATTTCCCATAGTTTTGCGCTGTTTGGCTTAAATTTTTACAAAACTGTGGGAAGATTCTGTTCTTCCACATCTAACAATCGTTGGAATGACTTTAAGCTATCTGCCAATGAAATTTGACCACGTTTGCATATGCACACCTGATTGGGCACAGAACCTGGAACACTTTCTTGGAAATATAAAACTGATATCGTCATCCAACTCAGGAGCCAATCAGCGATGGCCTTAGAGTTGAATGATTATTTTGGTTTCAAATACCTCCAAACAAGTTTTGTATAAATCCAAGCACCAGGCGATGATTAATGCAACTCTAGTGGTAATCACAAGAAAATATTGTGGGATCATATAATTATTATAATATGCATATATTCAAAATCCAAAAAAGGGAAATGACAGAGTGCTGAAAGTGGAACTATTGGTGAAATGACACTAAATGTGTATTATATTATTGCACAGGGATAGTACATGTATGCTAATTTTATTGATGCAACGGTGTTCAATTACATGCGAATACACATCTAGTATATTTCCTATGACTCATTATTGTATTTTCTTCAAAGGCTATTACATGGATGTACCAGACTACCCATTTGATGAAATCTACGACAGTTTTGCCTTCAATTCATTGCTGACGAGAGAGGAAGCCATCGTGGCTATGATGAAAGTACGCACCGAGTGCAACAGAGTGTGTGGCATGTCATTATTCCATGTTCCTATGATGAAATACATGAGATTAGAGGAATTTGAACAGACGCAGAGTCAAGCAAGTTCACAGGTGAGTTACGGTACTCAGTGTATCCTGATTTTTAAATTTTGGTATTCTAAATTAAATTATGTATCAGTTTAGTGTTTTGTCATATGACTCATAAATTACACTCTGAAATGATGCAATTAGCCTTTAAAATATTGGTGGAACATTTTAAACACTTTAATATGTATTTTGCTGAAATTTATTAATTAAATTTGTAACAATTGGACCTCTTATCTCATTTGTTAAAGGTCTAATTGAAATTTAAAAAAATATAAAACAATTTAGTCTGCAGGTTTTTAAAAATTAAAAAACTTATCATATGTATCCAAAGAAGTTTTTAGCTTTACTACACTAGCAGTGTTTGAAGTGGAAGGGTCGTCACTTGAGTTAATTCCGAAGCAATGCACGCTAAAAACGCAAAACTCATAGGTAGATGCTCGTTTGTAAACAACGGCACGCTATGGCCATCTGTCGTATTCGGAAGTGACGACTCCCCAAGTTTAACTAC